AAAAAAAAAAAAAAAAACATATTGTTTGAGCCATGTTAGGTGACCTCATCTTTGTCATTTAATATGAAAATGGGCCAGTGCAGTGGCTCATGCCTGTAATCCCAGCACTCTGGGAGGAGAAGGCTGGTGGATCGCCTGAGGTCGGGAGTTTGAGTCCAGCCTGGCCAACATGGTGAAACACTGTCTCTACTAAAAATACAAAAAAAAATTAGCCAGGCATGGTGGCACGTGCCTGTAGTCCCAGCTACTCAGGAGCCTGAGACAATAATTGCTTGAACCTGGGCAGCGGAGGGTGCAGTGAGCTGAGATGGCGCCACAGCACTCCAGCCTGGGCAACGGAGTGAGACTCCACCTCAAAAACAACAACCACAGACAACAAAACAATGAGGCCGCCCCCTTCTCTAACTGTTTTGTACAGAGCTGCTTCTCTGTACTGTTTGCTCTGAGCTGACGCTGCACTGAGTATTTCCCCAGCAGAGGTTATCCTCATCCCATTCTAGGGATTATTACCCCAAATTATAAAATGGCCTGCAGCCTCATCCATAAAATGGGTATAATGGAAACGGTTACCTGTGACAGGATTATTGTGAGGATTAGGGTGCCAGGAGCCATGAAGGCTCAGAACAGTGCCTGGTTCCTCGTCAGCTCTGTGTAAGCATAAAATAAGTTGGGAATGCTGCTCCTAGAAGGACTGCTTCTCTTTTTACAACTCTTGCTGTGGTTCGTGCTGCTGCTCTTGCTGCTATGCTCGTGCAGTTAGGGTTGGTACTGTTACTACGACAATTGTTACTTATTTTCGCAATGCTGCTGATACTACCACTACGTCCTCACTTCAGCTGCTGTTATTACTGCTGGTTACTCACGACTCTCAGCACTGCTTTTGCCTCCGCCCGGGCCCAAGGCCTCAGATGCTCATGCACACCTGTTTGGAGGAGCCCAGGCTGATGGGCCGAGCCCAGGCTGCAGGACAAGGAGAGGTGACTTCCTTGCTCCTATGCATCCTGGCGCTGCATCCGGAGAGTCTGAGCACTGTGGGTGGCCAGTCAGCTTCATTTCACCCCAAGCTCACCCTGCCCAGTCTTGGAAAGACAGGAGGCTGTTAGGGCAATGTTGGGGCAGCATCCGGCAGCCCCCAGGGAAACTGGGACCTCCCCTACTCACCGGCTTGATGGTAGAGGTGGGATCCGGCACGTACACAGGGCAGTGCGGGTTGGCGCTGGGTTCAGTTTTTGAGAATGTATTGTCTCCGGCCCGGAGGAACTTGGACTTCACGCACCCCATCCTGCAACAGACAGAAGGACAGAAGGGAGGTGAGCCCCGGTTACCCAGAGCCCCATGCAGGGAAGTTTCTGATGCTGGCGTTCTGTGTCCCCTGCCCCCAGGCTGGCTCCCACTGGCTGTCCCACTCTTAACTCCCCTGCCAGCTCCATGCACCCCCATCCTCCCCACATGGAGCCCACTCATCCTTGCCACCTCTGGGCTTCCCCATGTCCATGTGCCACAGCAGTGGCCCAGAGCTGACAAACTGTCATTGTCATGGGTACCAAGGACCAGCATGATGGGAGTTTATTCAGAGGATGGCATGAGGATAATAGAAATGTAACAGGTGGAGCTGTTGGGGGGCAGAGTGGGGAGCGGGTGGTGGGCACTGCCAGCTCTCAGGGCAGAAAGCCTCACCGATCCTCGGCTCCTCCACCCCACCAGCACCTCACTGACTGCTTTCCTGCACCCTAGCAACCACTCAGGTCCTCAACGGCAAAATGGGGACAATAATAAAATCTACGGTGGAGAAATACTCCAGCGCAGTGTCAGGCTCAGAGTAAACAGTACAGAAAAACTAGAGTATTGTCAGATGATAAATTGCCATTTTTATATTAAATGATAAGACGAGGTCACATAACATGGCTCAAACAATCTAGTTTAATAATAGTCAAGGCACTGTATTCCTGGTATCATTTTATAAATGGCTTATAACTCCCTCCCTCCCTCCCTCTCTTCCTGCCTTCCTTTTCTCCTTCCCCCTCCTCCCCTTCTTCCTCTTCCTCCCCTCCTCCTCCTCATTCCTCCTCCTCCTCTTCTTCTTCTTCCTCCTTCTCCTCCTCCGCCTCTCTTTCTCTCTGTCTCTCTCTGATTTATGTGATCATTCAGTCACCCATTTATACAGCCAACATTTACTGGGCATTTTCTAAACTGTGAACAAGAGAAGCAAGCTCATGCCCTCAGGAACTCAACTGCAGCTGAACGGGAGACACGGACAATAAACAGGTCAACGAACAAATAGCAGGACAAATTGAGTTAGTGAAACGTGTGAGGACAATCAGAGAGGGTGCTATGGGGAACGACAGGTCTGGCCCTCTTAGGCAGGGCGTTTGGGGAAGGCCTCTCGGAGGAGGGGATATTGAACCTCGGGTCTAAATGACACAAAGGAGCCAATCAGGGGACACTCTGAGGGAAGAGTGTTCCAGGCAGAGAGAACAGCAAACGCAAAGGCACATGCTTGGAGAGAACGTGGAGGCGCTGAAACAGGAGAGTGGCCGAAGCTCATGGGCACGGGGAGGGTGGTTGTGATGAGGTCACCACGTCTTGTAGGGCCAGTGAGGCCTTTGGATTTTATTCTAAGGATGACGGAAAGTTTCTGGCAGGAGAATGATGGGATTCAATTTGCACTTTAAATAATCCCACCGGCGGCTGAGTGAGGTGTGGACAGTAGGGAACAGGGGAGGGGACCCTGTGAGGAATCTGCTGCAATTGTTCAAGGATGAGGTGAGGGTGGCCTGGCCCAGGGGGTGGCCAGAGAGGAGGTAAGCATTGGACAGGTCTGGGGGACGTTTTGGAGGTAGAGCTTGCAGACTTTCCTGCTGTATTCAATTAATTAAAAGATGCTTTTAAAAAAATACATTTACTCTGAGTAGACTCAAAATGTAATTGTAAAAGTGGAAGAAATGTTTCTTTTCTCAAAATGTGCACACACATTTGCTGGGAAGGCAGGCTGCGACAGCCGCATAAGGAAGTGCGTGCTTTTCTCGTCTCTGCACAAATGCCGTTGTCTCCTGAAGCAGTTAGAACTGTTACACTTATCTTGTTAAAATAAACATGTGTTTGTGATTCAAGGAAAAAAAAAAACCAAATTCCTAGGCTTTGATGAGTTGCTTTTAAAAACGAAGACAGATTCCTTTTATTTACAAGGATTTGCCTGTCCTGGTAGGAATTGGGAAAGATTTACTACCTCAAGACTTGAGCAGTTTTCGTTTTGTGCTTTGGAAATAAAGGAACACAGTCAGACTCTTGGTGTGCTGGGTCGTTCATCTGAAAAATTATCACAATTAATCACCGATTTATAATGTACTTGCATGCACTTAAAACTGAAACCAGCATCTCTCTTTAATTTGCAATCAATGTGTATTACAGTTCTGGGAAATTAAACAGGCGTCTTGTGCGGCATGTATAACACACAACTGTATCACATTTTCTATGTTTTGGTCAGCATAAAGATGTTCTGAGAAGAGCAGTGCTGTGTGAGGTAGGGCAGCTCACTCCACCTCTCTGGGCACCCACTGATCTGCAGCCGGGAGTGTTTTGATTCTCAATCCACACACTAAGCAACTCATGTGCATCACTTACATTATCAATGTACACATTCAAGATGGCCACAGGGTCCTGGGGAGGGGTCTCGGAAGACCGTGTTCATTCACAGGCCAAGGCCGTCTCTGAGAAAGGATGGCGAGGGTTCTACCTCACAGGGTGGCGGTGAGCACTGAGCGAGTGAATGAGTGTGCAAGGCCCAGCATGCAGTAAGTGCTGCAGCCACGTTAACCACAAGCAGGTGTGGCACTGCACGGGGCATGAAGCAAGCCCAGTTTGCAATTCCTTTGGCCCACAAGCCTAGAGGTACTGCAATACTGGAGAGGCTCGCTCTTTTCAAAATAGGGAATTCCCATGAGTTCCATTTTTGCACAATAAAGTGTGATTTGCTTTCTCAGAGACAGTCTCGCTCTGTCACCCAGGCTGGAGTGCAGTGGTGCGATCATGGTTGACTGCAGTCTTGACCTCCCAGGCTCAAGTGATCCTCCCACCTCAGCCTTCTGAGTAGTTGGGATTACGGGCACAGACTACTATGCCTGGCTCATCTTTTGTTTGTTTGTTTGTTATTTATTTTTGAGACAGGGAGTCTTTCTCTGTCGCCAGGCTGGAGTGCAGTGGTGCTGTCTCAGCTCACCACAACCTCTGCCTCCTGGATTCAAGTGATTCTCCTGCCTCAGCCTCCCGAGTAGCTGGGATTACAGGTGCCCACCATTATGCCCAGCTAATTTTTGTATTTTTAGTAGAGACAGGGTTTTTACCATGTTGGCCAGGCTGGTCTAGTTCTCCTGACCTTGTGATCTGCCTGCTTCACCTCCCAAAGTGCTGGGATTACAGGCTTGAGCCACTGTGCCCGGCCTAATTTTTTTAAAATTTATTTTCTGTAGAGACAGGGGTCGGAGAAGGGGGCAGGGCTCACAATGTTGCTCAGGCTGGCCTCAAACTCCTGGCCCCAAGTGATCCTACTACTTGGCCTCCCAAAGTGCTAGGATTACAGATATGAGGCTCCATGCCCAGCTGAAAGTGTGATTTTTCTAAAAGTGATACACTGGCAGGAGTTAAATTTGTGTAAAATGTGATTATCCCCCCTAAACCAGAGAACCACATCTACTGCCTGGTATGAACTGGGCATTTGGAATGCCCGTTTTCATGGTCACTAGGCCCAGAAATGTCATGTGGGCCACAAATATAAGTTAAAGTTTTCTACAACCAGGTTTTTTAAAATTAAAATTTTATTTTATTTTTTGCTTTCTTAAAAAAATTTCATTTTTATTTTTATTTTCCTTTTAAATTTATTTTTGTTATTATTATTATTATTTTTGAGATGGAGTTTTGCTCTTGCTGCCCATGCTGGAGTGCAATGGTGCAATCTTGGCTCACCACAACCTCCATCTCCCAGGTTCAAGCGAGTCTCCTGCCTCAGCCTCCCAAGTAGCTGGGATTACAGGCATGCGCCACCACGCCCGGCTAATTTTTGTATTTTTACTAGAGATGGGGTTTCACCATGTTAGTCAGGCTGGTCTCGAACTCCTGACTTCAGATGATCTGCCCACCTTGGCCTCCCAAAGTGCTGGGATTACAGGTGTGAGCCACCATGCCTGGCTATTTTTTATTTAAAAAAATTTTTTTACAGTCAGGTTTTTAAAAGTAAAAAACAAGTGAATTAATTTTAAGATGTATTTATGTTACCCAATATATCAAAATTATTAACATATAATAAAAATAAAAATTATTGGCCGGGCACAGTGGCTCACGCCTATAATCCCAGCACTTTGGGAGGCCAAGGTCGGCAGATTGCCTGAAGTCAGGAGTTTGAGACCAGCCTGGCCAACGCGGTGAAACCCCACCTCTACTAAAAATACAAAAATTAGCTGGGCATGGTGGTGTGCACTTGTAATCCCAGCTACTCTGGGGGCTGAGGCAGGAGAATCGCTTAAACCCAGGAGGCAGAGGTTGCTGCGAGTTGAGATCGCGCCACTGTACTCCAGCCTGGGTGACAAGAGCAAAACTCTGTCTCGGAAAAAACAAAACAAAAACATTATTAATGAGATACTTTACATTTTTTTTTGCACTAAGCCTTCACATCTCAGCGTGCGTTTTACTTGTAGAGCACATCTCAGCTATGACTCCATCGGTGCTCAACAGCCGTCTGTGGTTCAGAGCTGCCGCATCCAAACATGCAGAGACAGAACGTTTCCATCACTGCAGTACTGGAAAGTCTGGTGCTCATGCCTGCGTTCCTTGGTGCTTAAGCCTGGTGCCTCCTGGCACACAGTAGGAGCGTCATGCACAGTGAGTGAATGACTGCATGCCTGGGGTGCCATGCTTTATGCAGTAGGAAGTAAAGCATCTGTCAGTACCATAAGACAGAGTATTTAAAAAAAAAAAAAAAAAAACAGAAAGTAAAAGCATCAGGACATGGTTCCTGCTCTATGACCCAGTGAGAAGGGTGATTGGACACCGAATTACATTCCAAAGCCACATACGAAGACACTATTAGGAGACACAGAAAGTAGAATGGTGGCTGCCAGGGGCTGGGGGAAGGGAGATGAGGAGTGAGTGTTCAATGGGTATAGAGTTTCAGATGAAATGAGTTATGGAGGCGGACGGTGGTGATGGTCGCACAGCATTATGAACGTATTGAATTCCACCGAAGTGTACACTTACAAATAATGGGGATGGTAAATTTGTTATGTGTATTTTGCCACAGTTTTAAGAATGAAAGAAAAAGAAGCTGCTAGGGAGTGGTAAAGATAGTAGGGACCATGCAAAGATTGCCTAAATACTTACTGGGTGAAAAACACAAACTGAAAATGTGTACAACATGGAACCACTCTTGTAAAATGAGTTTATGTGGCTATGTGTATGTTAGTGTGTTTGTATAAATAACAACCTCTTTATAATAATAATTGAGCAGCAAGATAATGAGTTGGGTTTTGAAGAAGAGGGAGGATCTGAATGGATAAAGATAAGATTGGGGGAAAGTCAAGAATATTCCAAAGAAGAACTGACTTCCAAAAGGGTTTGAGGGAGCTTATAATGTTAAACCATACACAGAGCACTGCAAGACTCAAAAAGGATTACTCTACACCATATAGAAGGGAAAGACTATTGAACCAGGAGCCCAAGGTCAGACTGCTACTGCCATTGAGTACTAGATTTATCTCTGAGCTTCCTAGTAGCCAAGATAAGAATGGAAACTTGTACAATGTCACCATAAGATCCCAGGAAGCACAGCAATTTGTCTGTTGACAGAAACAAATACTTTTTGAGTGCTAAATTCAAAAGAGGATTTGTTCTGTGGATCCTCATAAAAAGGTCACTGGGGCCGGGAGGGGTGGCTCATGCCTGTAATCCCAGCACTTTAGGAGGCCTAGGCAGGTGGATCAGTTGAGGTCAGGAGTTTGAGACCAGCCTGGCCAATATGGTAAAACCCTGACTCTACCAAAAACATAAGAAATTAGCCAGGTATGGTGGCACACGCCTGCAATCCCAGCTACTTGGCAGGCTGAGGCAGGAGAATCTTGGTTCACTGCAACCTCTGCCTCCCAGGTTGCTACTGCACTGCAGCCTGTGCGACGGAGTGAGACTGTCACAGAAAAAAAAAAAAAGGTCACTGGAAGGCACAATGGACAATTCCCCCCACTGTGATTTGTCAGCAGAATCTATAGTGTGTTGGCACGTGGTTCCCAAACAGATGGCACCGATATTATTCGGGTGGGTTTGGGAGCAGGGGATGGGGTGAAGGTGGGGAGAGAATGATGGGAGAGGTTTATTCAGCCCAGGGCCTCTCTGCAGAGGGCCTTATGACAAAGTGGCTTGAGTGAGTTTAGAAATGCAATACAGTGCTCAGAGTGTGGCTAGCATGAGAACCAGCAGGCTTAACCTCACACGGAAGCTGTAAGAAATGCAGAATCTCAGGCCCCACGTCCCAAATCAGAATGCGCATTTTAACAAGGTTCCCAGGTGATTCTTGTGAACATTGTAGCCCAGAAGGCTAGAGAACCTCTTTTGCTCTTGCCTCCTCAGATCTGTCCCTCTTCAGATAATAGCACCTGGATTTTCCTTTGGGGAACCAGCCTTCTCCCACTTAGTGCATGAGGTTTTGTAGGTCCCATCCCACCCTTGCCTTCAGGGATTGGCAACTTGACACAGGCCTGGCCTATCAGATAATCCGTATCCCCTGGCCCCCTGGCTACAGAGACTGGTTCAGCTATAGGCATATATGTCCTCCTCACTGAGGCAGTCTGCCCTGGTATTTTGCTAGAAAAATTAGGGGAAAAGCACTCTTTTTCTATAAGGGTTGATGGGATGTAAGAACCTGGAGTTCTTGGAAGCCATCTCAACATCATCAAGGTAAAAGCTGCTTTAGAGGGAAGCCACCAGAGAGGACAACAGAGCTGAGGAATGGAGATAAAGTAATTTCTGAAGATAAATTGAGCACCTGGATCCAGCTATGCCTGAAGCCCATACACCTCAGGATTTTTCCAGTGCATGAGCAAATAAATTCTCAATTTTGCCTAAGCCAATATGAGTTGGGTTTCTGCCATTTGAACTCAAAAAGTCTTCACTGATTCTTGCATATTCTTGGGTTACACTCTGGATTGAATGAACCAGTATCTGGGAGTGAGGACGTGGAATCTGTATTTCTAACAATTCTACAGAAAATTCATATATACGCTAAAATTTGAGATCCACCAATGTAGCAGAACTTGAGAGTCAGAATA